CAGAACACGTGACTTAACCTGGCAGTCTTTCCCCCTCAGCTCTTTTTTTTCCCCCGGACCTCTTTTCTGGTACTCTTCACATGACTTGGTTGCTAGTTTTCTTTCCATTTTCTCTCTCAGTTTTGACATGCTAATGGTTGATGAGGAACCAACGTAAAGTCGCCTCTCCAAAGTGTGGGTTACCTGTGAAGTGTTCTAGCCATGGTATTGTACTTATTCTTCCCATTTACGTATTTACCTAACCTGGTTTTTAAAGTTATCTAAAATTTGGCTTCGGTAGTTTTCTCTAATTTAAAACCCTTGTAAAACCAGTGTCTTCATATTATCTTCCTAAATCTAAATTTACGAAAGCTCTATTCCGGTTAGATATTTTAAGATCCTAATTTATATTCAATTCATTTATCCGTTTTCTATTTGTACACATCAAATCAGCATCATCAGTAGCTGAGAAGGTCGCATAATCTCTCGTAAGACTGAAGGCAGAGGTGACGGTACCAGTGGCAGAAATGTAGGCCGCTACCAACTGCCATATAGTGTCCATTACTAGCGGAGGTGGAGTCATTAACCCCGCCATGACTACCAAGCTGGTGAGCACAGGATTTACGCGTGCAAGGCCACTCGTCCACCTGCTCCATGGGGTCTGTGAGCATCCACCCGCCAAGCAAGCAAACTTTCCCAGGCTTCCAAGCGCGCGTGCGCAGGATCTTCTCAGTACTGGCGAGCATGGAGTTGGCGGGAGAGGTGGTTTGAAAGAGATTATGCTCTTATTATAGCTACAAACACTACTCTTGTTGTCACACGATACAAACACCCTTGCAAGAGTAGATAGAACCTATACAAGAAAGCAACGTGGACCAAAATCAACACTAATCCCAATTTACCACCCAGCCTGGGTTATTTGTCAAGTGTTACAGCCACGGCACTGTCAGTTTTATTCTTCACCATAAAAATCGAAAATGACAAATTACCATTTTTATAAAAAGATATGAAATACAAAACTAAGATTAAAAAGGAATTAGAGTTGTTGTAAATAGAATCACAACAACAAAAATCACTGGCATTAGATATATGAATGTATTATTATTATTATTATTATTATTATTATTATTATTATAAAAAAGAAGCGCTAAGCCACAAGGGCTATGCAGCAGATATGAATGTAGAAATATTGATTTTGTTAAGCCATTTGACAAATGTGATTACGAGTAACAGATTGTACATTATACTAGGGAAAGTTTATATTGATATTTTAAGCACATCACAATGAGTGCTAGTAAACCACGCGAAATACTCTGGGCAAAGTAAAAAGGTTCCTACCACAAGGGAAGGTCCTGGCTCATTTAGTTTCCTCATCTCATAGTACAGCAAAGAACGGTCCCCTTACCGTTCTGATGTCCTGGCATCTTTAACGTTTTCTTACCCACATAGTGGCCATGGAGAAAAACACTGAAGGTGTTATATCTTTTGTGAACGACACTAGAATAAGCATGAAAGTTGCCCTAGTATAATTTATTAATATGCTTGACTTACAAAGCGCTATCAACAAACAGTTACTGACACTATCATCACATTAACTGCATCGTTAAAAACTTACGGTCATTCAAGAAATAGCCACAAGGCAAGGGAGAAAATTATAGCCCACTTTCAATATCCCAAAAATCACATCCATTATTCCCTTGAAGTTAACTGGGCATATCACAGCAAATGTAGTCGAAACTAGAAATATCCCCACCATTTATGCCGAGGCAAGCACCCTGTGAGGGGGAGAGTAGTGTACACTATGAGAAGAGGTTCTTTCCAGACCACCATGGGTAACCCCAGGGGGTTAAATAAAAGGTCTTAATAGACGCCACTAAACCACTATAATCAGGCAAAAAAAAATCTTCCGGTGGCAAATGACAGTAACATCACGTTCAACAGTGAAAATGTCAACTGTTTCGATACATAATGAACTGAAGACGAGCACAGGGTATGTAACGCAGTCAAATAAATCATTTACAAACGACACGAACAGACCTAGCAGCAATAATGTAAACTACAGTGAGAGCCTGATCAATGAATGCATTCCCTGGAGCAGATCAACTAATACAATACACTCGTACACGTTAGTGTTAAAAAAAAAAAGTAATACAAAAGCTTGATTTTTTTTAGCGCCGACAGTAGGTATAATTAGGAAAAGGTTAAATAAATTTGAATTGCTTCTCTTTTTACCTATTAATAATAATATTGCTCTAGTAAATATGACGACATCTTGGAACGCATAATGCTACCCCTCAATACATTCTTACCATTAAGTTTCCACTGGAACAGTCTTCGCTAAAGATATATATAAACATATAAATAAAATAAAAAGGAGATATTTGATTTTGCCCCGAGAGATAAGTGTATTAGATTGCACCTCTCGTCCTGCCACTGGACATGTTAGGAAAATTCAGTGCTGCATCCATTAAGGTCACAGAGCCTTGGGAACAGGAAGTAATCAAATTGGATCCAAGGAAAGGGAGGGTAGCTAAAGTTTTTTGAAATAAAGTGTCTTTTACCAGTATCAGGCACCGCCACTGAAAGTGTTGCATCATGACAAGATTTAACTGGGACTAAAGAAAAGCTTGTTATGCAACGTGTATCTTCACTATTGTCGGTGCAGTTTCGATCTTAGTTGTTGACACGCCACTGGTCTTCCCTAAGTCCTAAGGCTACTTATTTTCAACACATTCACACCTGTGTCCGGAGACACAAGTGCACATGGCAAGTTACTTTACAGTCAACGCAGCGTTTTGAGAAAGGCTGCGAGTCATGCTTACAAAGTTGTTTATATTGCTTATACACAAATAACCCGCACATAAAAGAGAGAAGCTTACGACGACGTTTCGGTCCGACTTGGACCATTGACAAAGTCACACGGTCCAAGTCGGACCGAAACGTCGTCGTAAGCTTCTCTCTTATGTGCGGGTTATTTGTGTATCGTTCCAGTCACGGTATTGTGCCTTTTTTGTTATTACTTATACAATTTAGTCGTGTTAATTTCAAACTATAATAGTGGAGAAGGCCAAACAGAGCCACTTGATGGCGTATGTGACAGGTGCTGCGGGGTAGGAGGAGGGGGCAGCTCAGACCATGGTAACAACGCAAGTAACCATGGCAACCTCCCCCACCACCACCGCTCGCATCTACCTAGTCTCCACCAGCAATTATTGTTACTACTGCCTGTCCCCCGTTCATCACTTTCCATTCGCCTCTCTCTCACTTCCTTTACCCCCTCATCCTCACCTCCCAAACCCATCACCCTCACTTCCCATACCCATAACCCGCATCTCTCGTACCCCTCAAACACACCTCCAATAACCTTATCTTCCCTACCCCTCGCCCGCCCCTGTACCTCTCATCCTTACCACCTCCCTCACTACCATGAGAGCGCAACAAGAGGTTGACATAAGCGCTGCGTGCCACCGTCCCTTGACATAAAGGGGAAAGAGGGAGAGGAAACACTTTTGTGGGAGGAGGGAGGGGAAAACATACTATATTATATATATAATATATATATATATATATATATATATATATATAATATATATATATATATATATATATATATATATAATATATATATATATATATATATATATATATTATTGTAACCACGAACGAGTGGTATTGAATCAATAACAACACTGCGACTAGCCGAGGATTCGAACCCATGTCGTTTTGGCCCGCCTCATGGTGAGCGAAAATCACTCTCTAACCCACAGGATCACGCAAACCTACAAGTATCAAGAACCCAGCAGAGCTAGGTGTTTTACCTTGATCCGAGGACATACGGTGGTGTGGATGCCTGAGCTAATTTCATTCTAATCCCCGGTTGGTGTACTAGCCTTCACGAGCAGTATTTTATATTATTGTAACCACGAAAGAGTGGTACTGAATCAATAACAACACTGCAACTAGCCGAGGATTCGAACCCATGTCATTTTGGCCCTCCTCACAGTGAGTGAAAATCACACACGACGCTCTAACCCACAGGACCACGCAATGGGTTAGAGCGTCATGCGTGATTTTTGCTCACTTAACTTAGATAATTAATCTATAGAACTTGGATGGCACACACGATAAACTCTCAAAAATGTTGGTGTTGCTTTTTAAGGGCTACGATAGCTTATGCCGTATGATTTTTAAGAGATCAGCTGAAGTGTGTCTTCACTGATCTTCACGTTGCTTTCTGCTACTCGCTGGAAGGCTCGATTTATATCTGCTTGGAGATACGCAATGTCCTCAACGGATGTCACTCTTATACAAATTCTAGTATCGTCTGCATAGGATAATGCGGTCCTATGATTTATACCCCTGTCTATGTCAATATGAGGGTAAGGAAAAACAGTTGGGGTTAGAAATGTGCCCTGGTAAGCAAAGCTGTTCGCTATGCAACCTCAAATTTCATTTTGTTTACTATTACTCTGCGTTTTATTTGTTAAAATTATAAAAATCCATCTCCCCACTTTTCCAGTTTTTAAATTTTCACGCATATTTTTATTATATCATGATCTCACGATCGAAGGCTTTTTGCAAAATCTGTTTATGCCACATTAGTATTTTGTCTTCCAGTGCATCCTAGACCATATAGTAATGGTCCACTAGTTGCGAGAGGCTGGAGCGACCTGTACTAAACTCATGTTGCCCTGAGTTGTCAAACTGTTGTGAATCATGTGGTCAGAGATCTTGCTTCTTATTTAAGGCAGATGATGGGGGTTTCTTGTAGTTCTTGATGAACGGTGTTCCATGAGTTTGGGCCTGGGGCAGAGTGCATGGGCATGCTAGCAAAGGCTTTTCCGAAGTGGAGTTAGGGTTATATCGGAAATTTTGATATCTTAATATATCGAGATAAATACCTTATGCACCAGTCCCAAACGATCCGTGTTAAAACAAGCGATGGTAGTTAAACAAATCTTGAGCTTACAGGGTAATCATTACAATAAGGCTCAGTGCCTAGCTACAGGACACAGACTCACCGTTACGTGTGTGCACATGCGCATATGCTTGAACTGGAGACAGCAAACCAGGATGGTCCGCGTATCCTGGGAGTCATGACAAGCTTGAGTATATCAGAGATGTCATCGGCGTCCCACACTCCAGTAATTACATTTCCACAGTCTTTATGCACTCAGTGACGGTATTGGCTCACATTGTTGCAGTTGCTCAGGTATCACGATAGTCTAAGATATCAATTATACATGTAAACACCAGCAACACTACAACACTCCTCGCAACCTACCATCATAACCACACCCGCCATTCAAGAAGTGATACTGTTGACCAATCCCCCCCCCCAACACCTCCCTGAGCAGCACTAGTTCACCTTCACTCTCCCCCACCATGATGACTGTACCTGTCATCCCTCCCCTCCCTCCTCCCCTCTTCAAACACTCAACAATGGACACGCCCTACACTCCGCCTCCAAGTAACGGCACAACCACTACCACTTGTAGATGCAGATGAATGGTACACTCAACAATAATCTCTCTGGTATCGCCAATGCTACCACTTGTCGCAGTTGTAGCTAAATGGTATACTAAAAATACGTCCTCCTCCTTAATAACGGTACCAATAATATTACCACTACCACTTGTAATCGTAGATGTACACGACTGGAACACTCAATGAAAACGTAACCCTCCACGTCACAGCATCACCACTTACAAATGTAGATAACTAGAACACTTAACAATAAAGCCCACGCCATGTCGAAGTACCAGCAATACCACTACCACCACCCTTTCTTTTAAATGTAGACAAATGGAAGACGTCGTTGGGTAGCGTTATCAACACAACTAAGAGCGAAAACTTGAAATACAAATTAAAACACTGTAGGTCGATGTTTCCGCATAAATAAGCTCTGCTCAGCACGGGCCAGTGGGTTCACTGTTGGTTTCCATTTTTTTTTATTTTATCCAGTATATTATTTCCAGTCTCTAAGTGTTGTCTAAACAGAGAGAAAGATGGGGGGGGGAGGGGGAGAAATAGAGGAACGCGTGGTACCTGTAAGAACTTTTTTTTTTTACCTGTGAAAGGGTGGATGCCTACCCATAGTTTTATCTATCCCCTCCCCCTCATACCATCAATAGTAGAAGAATGTGAGGGAGGGAGAGGGAGGGGTAAATGAAGGATCCATCATCACATGCTCATCACATCCTCACCTCTTCACAATGACTGTCATAACTACTGCCACCACTACAACTGCCGTATACCCCGAGAGAGAGAGAAAAAAAATAAGAGAATAAATATGAGTAAACAAATTAAGTGAACACGTGCGAATGTGTATACTCGTTTATGCCTTCGTCCTCCAAGCCTGTGCTCTGTTTCTGACAATCTACTTTGCCCTTCCACAATTTTCATAACTTTGTATTTGCCCGGATTAAACTCCAGTAAGCATTTTATCATATTAATCTTTCAGTTTGTCCAAGTCTGTGTGTAGCCGTTCCCTGTCCTCTCCTGTTTATATTTTCTCTGTTAGTTTCACATCACTTGCAAACAAGGATAAATCAGACTATCCTATCCCCTATGCCGTTCACGTACACCAAAACAGTATAGGATCCAGTTACTGATCCTTGTAGAACCTTACTCTTGCACACGTGCTCCCATTCGGATTCCTCTTCAGGGACATTTACTCTATCCTTCCTATTAGATATGCTTTGATGCACTGCAGTGCTTTTATTCCTGTCCGCTCATTTAGCATTTGTCCCAATCTTTTGTGCGGTACTGTGTAAAAAATGTTCTTAAGAGTCTGGGAATATGCAGCACACCCACCCACCCATCTATCTATCTATCTATCTATCTATCTATCTATCTATCTATCTCTATCTCTCTCTCTCTCTCTCTCTCTCTCTCTCCTCTCTCTCTCTCCTCTCTCTCTCTCTCTCTCTCTCTCTCTCTCTCTCTCTCTCTCTCTCTCTCTCCTGCCACACTTGTTACGGGTTTGTGAAACAGGATCTGAAATCTCTCCAACTATGCTGGTTATGTGCTCACGCCTTCCCAGGTGCTTTACTACTCTTTTGATTATTACCGATGACACTGATCTGTAGTTTAATGAAATTTAATAAGTGAATAGGTGATTGTATTAGTGTATAAATGAGTGAATGTATGTATGTATGTATGTATGTGGGGAGGGGGGGGGGTTGCATGTAAGCGAGTCTGAATTAATGCAAGTGAAGGAGTGTGGGGAAGGGACAGAAAGGTATGTATGCGGTGGGTCATACATATCTGGTGGTTGTTGTGGGGAACGTGGCGAGGTGTAACACTGCCCACGACACAAGGTAATCAGGAACCCAAGGCTACAAGTGACCAATCCACAAACAAAAACAATGAGGGGATGCTGTGTCCAAGCACTGTTTAAACAACGGCAGACCATGCGAGGTTTGAGGAAGATAGAGAAGGCAGACCGGAACCACCCTCGTGTCATAAGTGAAATGAAAGCCTGTTAAACATTTTGTATTACGGGAGGATTGCTATTTTTGTTGTTGTTGTTGTTGTTTTTTGTCTCATGAATAGGTAAGATGTCATGTAATCGTGTAATATGCTACTTACATTAATTAAACACTTTACTTTCCTGGATTTCTTAATGATTTTAATACTTGTATTTCCTTTCCAATTGGCAATAGAGTTGTGGATGAGTGGAACAAACTCCCGAGTACCGTCACAGAAGCTAAAAAGTTATGTAGTTTTAAAAACAGGTTAGATAAATACATGAGTGGGTGTGGGTGGGTGTGAGTTGGACCTAACCTGTGCTACTAGGTCAGATGCCGTTCTTCTTCCTTAAGTGAATGTGAACTGACCTGACTAGGTTGGCATTGGCTTGGGCTGGTGTAGGACTTGGACCTGCCTCGCATGGGCCAGTAGGCCTGCTGCAGTGTTCCTTCTTTCTTATGTTCTTAATTTATGAGGCCAGGTCTAAGACAGTGTCGTGACTGAATATTTCCGAAAAAATAACAGGGGTGGAAATATTTCCGAAAAAAAATAACAAGGGTGGAATTATAAGTTGGTGCCCCAATGTCTGAAGCAACATACTTGTCCATATTACAAGATCTACCAGGAGGATAAACGACAGGGGCTGTTGACATAGGAAGCAGTTTTTAAAGAATGACCTCTATAAGGCGCAAGCAACATCAAGATAATGATAGTACGAATCTCAAGTCATTACTACAAACAAGACTGTTATGGAGCCAAGCTGCAATAAGCAAATAAGAAAAAGATATCTGCAAGAACAAACCAAGAAAAGATTCGTTGTGGACAGAAAAAAATGCTTGTACGTAAAATCAACACATGTCAAAAATTTTAAAATAATGTCAAGAAAAATGCAAAAAGACAAAAAAAAAAAAATAATGAGAGTTAGGTGAGGAGTCAAGCAGAGTACACAGTGAGAAGCACGATGATGTGAAGACATGTGAATCAAAGCAAACAAGTAACACATCGAAAAGATAAGTGTAACTGGAAGAGCATGTTAATACCGACAAATGGGAACAATGAGACATTTTAATGAAGTATGGAAAACTTTAGAAGTATCTCATACCGCAAAAAGTACTTTATTTGTTCCATAGAAAAGTTTAATGCAAATAAATATATGTTCTTGAAAAAAAAAATAAGACAGAAGAATGATAACCTTTGTCTTTGACAAGGAGATACACGGCAAACTCTCTAATTAAATTCAAGATAAAGCAGAAGAAACCTACGAGTTAGTGACGAGTATAGCAAGAGTCAGCGGCAGTGTGACTTACGTGGTGTTGCGAAACACTGTTACAAGACGATGGTGTGGAAGCTTAAGAAATTAACGGAGTGGAGACGTGTACAAAAGTAACGGAGGAGCTTGTCAAACTTCGTAGCAGAAGGACGGCCTGGAAATGGTGTAACACTCATTGTTTGGGGAAAAGATAAAACGAAGCAGAGGACAAGGAAGTGCTTATTCGATTGTTTACATTCGAAAGAGTGCCTGTGGTAAGTCACTGGCAGTTTTAACTTAGTGGTCACAAGGTATAAATTAATAATATATTAACTCAGCGGTGCACTGTTTTCAGCTGCCTTCATATCCGAGGAAGTTAGCACTAGCACTAGCACCTTCCAGCTCCATCCCCAAACATCTTACTGCTTGGTGATTTCAACATAAGGCATACAAAATGGAAGAATGTAGCAAATAATGTTATAGCTGAAACAATCCCCGGTAGCGCAGATGAAAGGTCACACACACATGAGCTACTAAGTCTCTGCGAAAAACACACCTTAAGCCAACAGATAGTGGAGCCAACAAGACTAGAAAACACACTTGACCTTATCTTCACAAATAATGAGGACCTGATAAGAGACATAAGAATATCAAAAACAACTTATTCCGATCACAACCTAATCGAAGTCCAGACGTACATGAATAGGGGTCCTGATCAGTAGAATGCATGTACCTGTGAAGGTGTCTTCACAAAATACAACTTCAACAACAAGAACATCAACTGGGACCAGGTAAACCCTGTCCTAAACGAAACATGTTAGGAAGATATCTTAAATGACATGGATCCAAACCAGTGCCTTGAAAGGATCAACTTCCTGGCAGCTGAAGCATGTTCTAGGCATATTCCCCTAAGAAAGAAGAAGAGCAGGAGTAAATTGGAGAGAGAAAGATGCTCCCTCTACAAAAGACGACGAAGAGTCAGAGCTCCTCAGGAGTGCTAGAATATCTGATACACGAAAGGGGGTGCTGACCAGGGAAGTGGAAACTATTGAACTTAAGTTAAATGACTCTTACAGGAACCAGGAGAGACAGGAGGAGCTTAAAGCTATTAGTGAAATTGAAAGAAATTCAAAATATTTCTTTTCATATGCCAAAAACAAGGCAAATACCACATCTAGTATCGGGCCCTTACTCAGACAGGATGGGACTTACACAGAGAAGGCAGACCGGAACCACCCTCGTGTCATAAGTGAAATGAAAGCCTGTTAAACATTTTGTATTACGGGAGGATTGCTATTTTTGTTGTTGTTGTTGTTGTTTTTTGTCTCATGAATAGGTAAGATGTCATGTAATCGTGTAATATGCTACTTACATTAATTAAACACTTTACTTTCCTGGATTTCTTAATGATTTTAATACTTGTATTTCCTTTCCAATTGGCAATAGAGTTGTGGATGAGTGGAACAAACTCCCGAGTACCGTCACAGAAGCTAAAAAGTTATGTAGTTTTAAAAACAGGTTAGATAAATACATGAGTGGGTGTGGGTGGGTGTGAGTT